GGTTGGTTGAAATGGTTTAAATTTCACACGTTCCATCAAAAATGTTGTTTGAATTCTGAGCAAAAAAAGAGCAAAAGATGTTCAGTGAAATCTTCACAAAACTTCTCTCCCCTCTGCCCCCCGCCCCCACACATATTTTAGACAAACTTTAGAGCTAGCTGAAATTTCTGATATATTGAAGTTTGATTAAGTTTATAAGAACTTGAAGACAGGATGAAATTTCAGAACTGGAAAATAATGATGAAAAGCTTTTCACCATTTTTTCCTTCTGTTTTTCTACCTGCTCTAGTTGCACCTTACCTCCATGTTGGCGTTACTGCTGTGTCCAGCTGGGTGTGAGCACCCCTTTGCTACCATGGAAACTAGTGATAGAGAGCCTCTCCCATGGTTCTTCTCTGAGTGGGTGTGTACTTTATACGTTGCAGTGATAGTGTGTGCCCTCAGTGTACTCGAGTTGGGAAGCACGTGCGCTTGCCATCGGTGGAATGTATATGTACATGACACATCTTGAAGGACAACAATTACTGTACAGGTAAATAACCCTTTCTTCCTGGTGGTGGTATGTGAGCAAGAAGGAGCCAGCTTGACTCTCAGATCCAAGGAGAACTTGAAGGGCAACTAGATTTTAAAAAATCCTTTAAACTGTAAACTGAGCAACTTTGGTGTTGAATTACATTGCTTAGAAACACCCCCAAAATTGTGATCAACTATTTCACTGGGGGAAAGTGGGGTTTGGGATCAAAATTGAATTTTCAACCCAAAACAATGTGTTAAAAATTAGAAATTTTCCACTGGCCCTAAGTCTGGAGTCAGTGAAAGACAGTCAACATGGAACCCCACAATGTCGATGTTCAGAGTAGAACATTTTTAAGGGAGCCATTTTCAAAAGTGCTGAGACCTGGCCTAACTCTGTTCCCACTGAGATCAACATTGAAAATTGCTCTTGAAAATCCACCGAAGAGCCCCTTCAATGATATTTCCCAGAAGAGACTCTTTATTTAAAAAAAAAAGAAAAGGCAGCACTAGTTTCCTCTAACTTCCAGATACATTTAAATGATGAAACATCTCTTCCGAAGTCTTTTGATCATCGGCCTTTCTCTATCCCCCTTCCCATGTGGATCACACTGACAAGTAACTCTTCTCTTCAAACTAGCCACTGTGGTGGCACTGAACAGGCTGGTGTCTTTTGGTGGCCTAGCGGGAAGCTGGATAAGGAGTCTAAATGGTGAATCTCACACACTTGGTGCCATTTTGGGGTGAGTGGGTGGGTGTGGTGTTAAATGGGTTATATTAACTTTCAGTGCTTCAGGGAATGGTGTGGCTTGCGGGAAGCAATGTCCACACGGCTGCACCAGATTGTTTAGTTCTTGGTGGTTTTACTGTGGTAAGTCCCTTACCAAAGGCTCTTCAGCAGAGTAGGCAGTGGCAGGATAAGAAGGAAGGGCATCTCACGGATCGGTAACTGATTCAAAGATAGGAAACAAAGGGTAGGAATAAATGGCCGGTTTTTACAGAGGAGAGGTAGATAGCAGGGTCTCCCCAAGAGTCTGTACTGGGACCTGTTGCTGTTCAACATATTCATAAATGATCTGGAAAGAGGGGTAAACAATGAGGCGGCAAAGGTTTGCAGACGATCCAAAGTTACTCAAGGTAGTTCAGTCTAAACCCGACTGTGAAGAGCTACAAAGGGATCTCACGAAACTGGGTGACTGGGCAACCAACTGGCAGATGAAATTCAATATTGATAAGTGCAAAGTAATGCACAACGGAAAACATATTCTCAACTACCCATACAAAATGATAGGGATCTAAATTAACTGTTACCATTCATGACAGAGATCTTGGAGTCATTGTGGATAGTTCTCTGAAAACATCCGCTTGATGTTCAGGAGTAGTCAAAAAAGCTTGGGAAAGGGATAGATAATAAAACAGAAACTATCATAATGCTGCTATATAAATCTATGGTACACCCACACCTTGAATACTGCATGCACTTGTGGTCACCCCATCACAAAAGAGATGTATTCAAATTGGAAAAGGTGTTGAGATGGGGAACAGAAATGATTAGAGGGGTGGAACAACTTCCATACAAGACTGGGACTGTTCAGCTTAGAAAAGAAATGAGTGGGGGGAGAGATGTTAGAGGTCTATAAAGTCATCACTGATATGTAGAAAGCGAATAAGTAAGTGCTATTTGCCCCTTCACATAACACACGAACTGAGGGTCACACAATTAAAGTAATAGGCTGCAGGTTTAAAACAACATAAGCAAGTCCTTCTTCACACAACACACAGTCAACCTGTGGAACTCATTCCCAGGGGGATGTTGTGAGGGCCAGAAGTATAACTGAGTTCAAAAAAGAATTAGATAACTTCATGGAGGACAGGTCCATCAGTGGCTATTTGCCAAGTTGATCAGGGATGCAACCCCATGTTCTGGGTGTCCCTAAGCCTCCAACTGCCAGAAGCATCTGTGACTGGCCGTCAGAGACAGGATATTGGGCTACGTGGACCATGGATCTGACCCAGTATGACCATTCTTATGTTCTTAAGTCCATTTCCCTGGGTGTACACTGAGCAGCTGAGGGCACCTAAAGGCACTGAATTAGATCCAGAGCTGGTAAACAATTCCACACCCAAAGCGCTGTCAAAATGGCAGTGCTACTGTAATTCAGCAGCTGTTAATGGACCCTAAAGGTGTGGGTTTGCCAGCAGCTGCTGGTCCATGTTGTTATGTTTCTCTGCCCGGCACATGCAGCATAGAGTTTATTAAAAGCCATCACAAAAATCACTCTCCCCCTTCTCCCCAAATGCCAGGCCTCAGTTAATAGCATGACACAGGGACTCGGAAGCAAGCTGCAGCATCCGTTTGG